GCGACCGACTCGGTGCATAAAGTAATGTAACGCAGGATAATGAGGTTTTGATTAGCTCTTGGATGACCATGTTGTTGCCTTTACGCCAAGGGAAGAAAATGCTTTCGCAGACCATTTTTCAGAACATGAAAAAGAGGTAGAACCAGTCCAACTCTGATCGAAGACGGAATCTAAGTTGGCGGATGGGTAACACTTTCACTGTCCGATTCAGCATTCCCAACAAATCTTCAACCGAACAATAGGTTGAACAGCTGAGAAAAGTAGACCGAAAATTCGTGGTCCTAAAGCTAACTTTTAAAATTGGTTCACGCCTTGCAAAGGGCAGTGAGACAACCGAAAATCAACGCAAATCTCGGGGGCTAAACAACCAAAAACAAACCGCTTAATAGTCTCATAGTGAGGATGGAAAAACAGCAGAACACTCTTGCACTCCCTTGCACCTCCGATGGAACGAGGGAGGACGTAATCAAAGCAAGTCAATCTCAAACCTCCTTCAAGAAGCTCCCAACCGTTGGTCCATATGGACTTTAAACTGACTGATAGGAAAGGAGCCTCGATAGTATCCCGGCGTACCAACTGGACCCTGGATCAAACAAGAGAAGGGACCGTGCGAAAAACAGCGGTAACGTTTGACCTAGCGTAAAAGCATAAAACTGATCAGTCCACCAAAAGAAGGGCAACAACGGCACCGATTTAATGATGAGAAAAGGAGCTACACTTTTAATTTGCTGACATCCTACCGATATAGTAAAACAACAAACAATAAGTTCAAAGTGAGGCTGCTTAATCAACAATGCGACGATTCCCTGGTCCAAGTGATCCTAACTTCATCCCAAAATACTCAATTTACTGAATGAACAAAAACGGCAACAACTGGCACCTCAAAAAAAGGGGTTCAGTCAGTTAAGCAAATATCCAACCCAATAGTGACTTCGGATTCAGATTACTAAAAAACACTAACTCAGTCAATCCTGTAATTGGGATTGAGGGGAGGACACTTTGACAGTGTCACCAGAAACAAGGGAACCCGTGACTGCAGTTCATTGCAGGAGAGATTTTGGCCATCCAACCATCCAAGTACGCCAATCGCCAGAAAGAGACGATGGGAGAATTTGGAATCGCTGGATCCAGTAAAATGAACAGCTCGAAAAACCCACCAATCGGTCAGGGATCACCAAGCCTAGGTCGTGGAATTCATTTACAAGTGGCCAAGCGCTAAACGAACTCGCAATTACAAAGTCCCAATGGAAGGCAATTTCACTAACCAATAACAAAACAGAGTTGAGAATTCGGTGAAGATCTATGAAAAGAATGAACTGCCAACGAACTCATAATCAAATCACTAGGCGAAAAAATGAAGTGTTTATTTTACAACATCAAACCAAGGAGAGTAACTAACCTATTTGGGAACTTACTAATCAAATCATGCCAGTGATAGACCTTTGAGGGGATGCAACTGAAGTTGTGGACGAGTTAACGCCGGCGCCGGTGCTGGTGGGGGTCGCGTAAATTGGGTCAACGTGGCCGGCGCCGCAGAGACATTGTTGGGAGGCAGTCGGATGGCAAGCTGCCGGAGAGCGGTACCACAGCTCGCTAAGGCTTTGCGTTCATATGCCTCGGCCAAGTGTAAAGGCATTAAAAAGCGCGGATCCAGTTGGGCGAAATGCGTGAACCGCTCCAGCGGCGTGGGCAGTTGTTGCTCTCGTTCGCCCACTATGCGACAGGCGTACACGAAGATCTCACAGCTGGAGAGGGAAAGACAAGAATACCATTACCGTGTGGTGAAAAGAGAATTCCAAAAGCTAATACGGATCACACTTCCAGCCGAAAGTATAATCCACAACCTATAAATCATTTCACACGGACCAATCAAGTCCTGATGGTGTATTGTCGATGATGCTTCTGTTAACGACCTGCTGATCCTTCAACAGATTCATAGTCAAATTTTACCCAGACCTCCAAAAACTGGATGTGGCTAGTTCCACATTGATCCACAAAAAATTCTCTCGAGTCTACATTTAAAAGGTAGTCAATGACTGAGACGTGGCCAAGGTTAGCCACATTCAACGCGAGGCCATTTCCTGGATGTACGAGTTACATGAAGGGAGGACACGGTTTGTTTGGTCGAAGTAACTTAATGCGACCCAGATGGGAGGCGTGAGGGGTGGCGAGGAGGAAATAGTGCAAAGGAAAAACGGCTGTGGAATGGTAATGTCATGAAGATGCGGTAGCGGAATGAATAGTTATTGAACAAGTCCACATTTCAATTTGCTGAATCGATCAAATTTCCTTCC